AATATATAGAAGAATAGTTTGGTTTTTTTTTGTCTTTTTGTTATTTTTTTTTTTTTTTTTTTGTGGTGGTACAGTGAGTTTCACTCTGTATAAGGCCTGGGGGCCACTAGAGGTAGAGGGTTACAGAATAAGGGACACAGTTTATGTGGATCGGTTAGGAAGATAATGGCTAACCCTATACTTGAACAAATCCGGATTGCCTTGATCGGGAAACATCCTCTTGGGAGTCAGTTTCACAGAGTAGTGGTTCGCCGGAAGAATCTGCTCGAATGGAAAGAGGGAATGAGAGCGGTTCGCTACAATGTGCATAGACTGGTGGGTCCTAGCTGTAAAGGTTTGAACTAGTGGAACTAAGGAATGTAGTTCGCCAGAGCACTTTTCTTATTCTTTGTGGTGAATATTGAAGTCACCCCAGATATGAAATCTAGCTGATGGAAATTCGGTGAGGAGATTATCAATCCTCACAGATATCTGATAGTTAGGAAAGATTGTAATGCGCCAGTTTTCTGATTAAACCAAAGAACTTTGACTACACAGAAAATCAGTATTTGTTCATTTCTAACATCGAATTTTGGTATCACTATGGTCTATTGTTGTAAGCTAAGGAAGATTACTGAATAGAATAATCACATGAAGGTTGGTAATGAACGATAATACTTAGGACATGAAAAACACATATAAGATTCGTCAGCTGCGCGTAGAAGAAGTAGTCAACTGCTGGAAATGAGTCAAGTAAATTCCACAATGATTCTCCAACTGCAGGATATCTACCAAGAGCCCCACACGGTCAGATGTGGCACAAGGCTGAATTTAATGTGGGGTATCCGAGCCTCTAGTCTCGTCTAAAAATTTCCCGTAGACCCCGTATAAAATGGAGTCGGGTAGTTGTTTCCTGAGACGAGACTCTGTCCTTCGATAGAGCCTCGTCTGGAGATCCTCTCTGCCTGGAGTTTTGACCAGCACAGCTGGAGACGAATCTTCACTTGCGGACCAGCATACAGTATTTTCTACTGTATTTACGTGAATGTGGACATACCCATTATCATCCGTAGGTATGCTACAACATCTATAAAGTTAGAAAGATTATGTTGCGCCATTGTTACGGGACAGGGTACAATCGTACTTGATTCTAAAATCTACAGCATATTGACCTCAACGCAAAATGTCTACTGCACTTCAAGCGGAAGGTCTAGGTTCGATACATTTTTTGATCTATTCTGTTTTGTACGCATGCGCGTATGCTTTTATTTCAACTGGCATGTGTTACTTGATTTCGATTTTACTGACATTTCATATTTTCGCTACTTTTCAGGTGTTATACAGACTTAGGGTCAATTTACAAATGTTCAAGTAATTCGTTGTGTCCTCGTTTGTTCCGTTTATAAATTAAATCACACAATCCTCTATTGTGTGTCGTTTTTTTTCCTTTTTTCGTTATATATCCAGTCTATCTGGATCATCTCTTGAATATCAAGCTCAAGGCATTATCACTGATTTAATTCTCTATCTTTCATATTTTAAAACAGTTTTGCCCAGTTTAAGAAGCATTCGTAATATCTTAATTCTAAGATATACCACAGAAGTCGAAAAAACGTTTTAATTTTAGACTTATAGCAAATATTAATTCGTTAAACGATCGTGTGGCTCGTGTTTTTTTTTTTCACCAGTTAGTATGAACTGTTCTTAAATTTGCCAAAGCTGTTCCAAAAATATAAAAGGAAGGGTAATAAACTAACGACAATGTCCACAGCCTTAGTAGCTGAACAGATGACCTATACAGACTATATGTAAAGAGAAAAGAAGATAATGGAGTGATACAGAAGATTCTGTGGTTTAGGTTATAAATGTTCTAAGATGAGATACATTATGAATTAAATGAAAACGTGTAACGACAGCGAGAAACTATAGACCACCTGAACAGCAGAGAAGTGATGAAATTTCAATAACAAATGAAATATAAAGATAACAATTGAAAATTATTGGAAAAGTATTCGCGTCTACGTACAGAATGGAAGAGAAAGGACAAGGTAAAATTATATATGTATATATACGAGGAAATGAAGAAAACTTCTCGAGCCAATTTCCAACATCTGACCTTATCTGAGCAAATATCAGTATTTTTATTTTTAGGAATGGCTTCTTGGTCACCATTACACACACACAGTATATATATATATATATATATATATATATATGGTGTGTGTGTGTACGTGTGAAAGTGTGCGTGTGTGTTTGTGAAAGTGTGTGAAATTAATTTCAGGTGACTAACGCAGCCATGAAAATAATTTTCAAATAATTAAGGAAAGCTAAAATTCATTTCGGACAAGAAATTCGATTTTAAATTAGAATGGACACTTCGTCTATGTTGTAATATTTTTTTTTAATTCCTGTTTTTTCTTCTGTGTGTTTTTATTCCTCCAGCGTTTCAGAAAAGAAAGAAAATTTCTTTAAAAAAATGAAGGAAAATTGATGATTGGCCGATGTGTTTTTTTTTTTTTTTTTTTTTTACTATATTTTTTGGTTGTTATTTTTATTAGCAGTTGAGGTGCTTCGCTGTATTTGGTTAGATTCAACATTCAAAAATCTCCGTTTTACCCGAATAAAAATAAAGGAACATGTTTTTCGACGTTCTTGACAACAATTATTATTCGGTGAGGAGGTGGTGGGTAATAAAAAGGCTAAAAACGGAGACATAATATATGAAAAGAGATAGATAGATAGATAGATAGATAGATAGATAGATAGATAGATAGATTCAAATAGAATAGAGTATTAGAAGGAAAGAAAGAAAGAAAGAAAGAAAGAAAGAAAGAGAGAAAAAAAAGAAAGAATAAAAAATCAAAGGGTCAAACTGAGAAAGACAGCCAGCAATTTATAAGCATAAGGGAATGACATGGTGAAAAGAATGAACAATGTGATGAGGAGAGACCTGAGTGTAAAGAGGGATAAAAGAGAGAGAGAGAGAGAGACAGAGTAAGGATGAGAAGAAGACGTCAATCAGTACCGATAGCCGACAGTCTGTTTCATCCTGCAATGAAATCCTCACGCTATCGAAGATTGCGTTCAAGAATGAAATAGACTGTCGGCGATCGCTGTTGACATGACTTATATATATATATATATATATATATATATATATATATATATATATATATATATATATATATATATATATATATATATGAAGAAATATAGTCTTAAGATGTGCTATATTTATGGGATAAAGTGCTCAATATCAGAGATAGAGCGTGTGTAAATATAAAAGTGAACATAGAAGTCAACACTTAGAGACGACAGTCTGTTTCATGCTAGATGCAATCGTCAGGCCACGAGTGCTGTTATTTTTCTCGGCTATTTATATATACGGGTCAGTGGTGCATTATGGGTAGTCTATTTTGGCGGTTATTTTACCGGAAGTCGTTTATTTATTTATTTGGGTTAAATTAGTTTGCTTGTTTTTATTTATTTTTATTTTTTATTTTTGTTTCTTATTTTATATATTTATTTATTTTTTTTTTTTTTAATCGGTGTTTTTATTAACGTAGTAATAATTTGTTTATATCGATTATTTAATAGTTTTGGTTTGGTTTGGAAAGATAATTAAAGCTATTTATTCAATTTTGGTGTTGATTGTTGTAGTTTATTCTAACTATTATTTGGGCGGGAACAGTTTTAATTTGTCTATTACTTCATGTATTTATTTGGATTGATTATTTTTATTTGTTTTTTTCTAACGTTAGTTTATCGGGATCGGTTTGTTAGTTTATTTATTTATTTGGATGAATTTTAGGTCAATTTATTTTACTTGTTATTATTTATTATGTTATACTGTATATTTTCTCTTTTCGGTTTTATATTTTTAAGTGACGCAACATTTTTTTTATCGTTATATAATAGATATAGTTACTTTTTTTCTTCATCCGATTTTTGGTTTGATTTTTATAGTCGAACTAATATTTTGCTCATAATGGTTTGCTAATTTGTTTATTATTTACTTTATTTATTTGGTTTCATTAATTTTTTTCTATTTCGTCTATTCTAACAGGTGTGATTTGGTAATTTGTTTGGGTTAATTTATTTTGCTTATTTTATTGTCATTTTGTTTATTTATTTTTATTTTATTTTTTCCGTTTTCGAGCTTTAAGTAACGTAGTAAAAATTTGTTTTCATGTCTGCATTTTGAGATGAGCTCGGATCTTTTATTTAATAATTTATTTTGTTCTGGGAAAGTAATGATAGCTATTTTTCCCTCAAATCAAAGTTTGCAGTTTTTGATTGTTTTAATTGGTTGTTAATCAATGAACCCAAATAAAAAATCCACATCTTTTGACTGACCTTTCAACCACCTGATGAACATTCATAAATTTTCTCAAATTTAATTCCTTGACAAACCAAAGACATCCTCGCTTTTGTTATATAAACACATGCAACAAAATAAATCCTACATTGGCCTGGTAAAGTCTCTTAGTGAATGAAACGCGTCGGCTAAGAATAGTTTTTCTTCTTATCTTTTTTTTATTCATATATATATATATATATATATATGATGGTCTCTCCCGTCGTTTTCGAAAAGCACGAAGTTGATTGATGTGCGTCCTGTATGGCGTCCACGATTCTGACCCATAAAGAAGTGTGGTGAGAATGATTGCTCGATCGACACTGATTTTCGTTTTGAGTGAAATCCCATGAACATCCCATAGGTGATGCTTAAGCTCCCCAAGCGTCCCAAAGGCAAATTTCATATATATATATATATATATATATATATATATATATATATATATATGTATATGTGTGTGTGTGTGTGTGTGTTTGTGTGTGTGTGTGTGTCTGTGTGTAAAATTCCTGCACTTGAAATTCATTTCTGTTGAAAATGTTGAATTCTTTTACAATGAAAATTCTCAACTTCATCTGTTGTAACCTCCTCCCGTTAAAACTTGTCATGCACGGCATCATCATCATCATCATCCAATATTTTTTAAATTAGTGCACTTCTCCAGTTCTTCTTCTTCTTCGCAACAATTTAATCATTCAGTTCTTTTCTTCTTCTTCTTCTTCTTCTTCTTTGTGTTCTTCTTCTTCTTCTTCTTCTTCTTCTTCTTTTTTAAGACCGGGCTTCTTCCTTCTTCTACTTCTCCGTTCTTATTTCTTCTTCTTCTTCTTCTTCTTCTTCTTCTACTTCTTCTACTTCTCCAGTTCTTTTCTTCTTCTTCTTCTTCTTCTTCTTTCTTCTTCTTCTTCTTCTTCTTCTTCTTCTTCTTCTTCTTCTTCTTCTATATGCTTCTTGTCTTCTTCAGGACTTGGGCAATTCTTCTTCTTCTTCTTCTTCTTCTTCTTCTTCTTTTTCTTCTTCTCGTTTATAGCTTCTTCTTCTTCTTCTTCTTCTTAGTAACTTTTGTCTTTTTTTTTTCTGTCTCTTCTTCGTCCCCTGTTCTGCCAGACATTTCTTCTTCATGCCGTGTCTCTTCAGGGACTTTTATTATAGGTAATTTATGATCTGTTTTCCTCCATCCCTCTTGTCTTTTATATGTCCTGTGAGTGTCAAATTCTCCAAGCCCGCTTTCCTTATTATATACCGTAGACATTTCAATTATTTCTTTCGTTTCCATTTTTCTTAAAACTTACTCGTTGATCATATATTCACTTCATGATATTCTCAGCATCCTTCAGTAGAAACATATTTCAGTTGCCTGAAGTCTCTTCTTCATCTGTGAGGAGCATTCGATGCTATATATGAGGAACCGATATTAGAAGTAGAGCACTATTTGCTTTGTCTCTAACGAAATTTTCCTGTTTCTTAATTCTTTGATTAGATTTTGGAAGGACTTTTTCCCTATTTCAATGCACGTCCAGATTTGGGCGTTGTATATTCCCTCCTCTATTAAAAGATATTCTACATATTTAAAGTTTTGTACTTAGTTGATTTTGGCGTCTCCATTTTATAGTTCGGCTGTTCCTTTAAATGACAACCGTTCATTCTGTCATCTTACAACTGATGTTCCATGCTTTCTTCTCGTTTTTCTTTGCTATCTTCTGTTCGCGACTTTGTAGTTTCTTTTCAGTGCTCCCATTCTTTTTATTTGTTTTATTTTTTTTGTTTTCTTGTTTTCTCTTTTATTAGAGGGGGGAGGAGGTTACACCGTTTTGTTTTTAATGATTCTTTCTTTTTACTGAAAGTCGTATATGTTCATTCCGAACGGAAGTGCCGATAACTGTCTTTTAGTAAAAGGGAGTTAATATCTCATTTACACTTGAGTCTTCAAAAGAAATCTTCCATATCCGGCCACTTCTATTTATATATATTTACTTATATATTATTAATTCCACCGTTTGTCTGTTCTCACATACGGCGGGCCTCAAATAAACACGATTTCGACGCAGTTGTCGACATGATGAGAAGAATAGCTTCAAAAGAAAAAGAAAAAAAAGCGTTCAAATAAAAAAAAACATAGATGTAAAGCGAGTAAAAGAGAAGGAATATTTTTTTTAAATGTCTTCCTGATTTCTCAACAACGATTCAATTCTTAGTTTTTTGGGGGGTTTTTTCTGTTCTTACGTTTGGGTGTTGTTTCTTCTGTATAAAGTTCTTGCTGGATCATTCTTGTTTGTTCGTTCTAGTGCATTTTTCCACAAACAAGGTAATACACGATCAACCAATAAAAATCGACCAACCAATAAAAATCAACAGAGCATAATATTTCAATTTTTCATTTTATGAGAACATTTTACGGATACCGTTCTTGCAATATAAAAAAACACACACACACACATATATATATATATATATATATATATATATATATATATATATATATATATATATATATATATATGAAAATTTCTCTCCGATTTAACCAGTAGAAGACAATATTTATGAATAAAAATGACAATAGGAAAACTGGTAATTGCTGACGCATTTCGTCCAATGTGGACTTTATCAAAGCAAAATTTTGCTATAATAAAGTCCACATTGGACGAAACGCGTCAGCAATTACCAGTTTTCCTATTGTCATTTTTATTCATAAATATACATACATATATATATATATATATATATATATATATATATATATATATATATATATATATATATATATATATATATATATATAATTAGGAAAACACTTTTAAAATCTATAGTCAGTCATAAATGCATTTTGATGAAAATTCCTATTTGGAACAATCTCTACAAATTACATTTTCGTATATATACATACATACATACATACATATATATATATATATATATATATATATATATATATATATATATATATATGTTAGAGTTCAGAAGTTTGAAGCCACTACCAGAATTAGCATGGGATGAACTTGACAGAAGAGTGAAACTTTTCCATCTAATTTATGAAAAGGAGTTCTTTGATTCATTGAAAACTGAATGGAAGCAATTATCAAACTGAGAAACTTTTGCAATGAATGTCAAAGATTTTCACTGCAGTAATTACGGCTAAAGAAGGATATTTTGCGTTCTATCCTTAAAGACGTCACAAACAGACAAAGGTGGTACTCGAGTGAAGGAATAACAACACACGCGTAGATGAAAGAAGTCAGGTTTATTATAAAAGAGAATACATTACTGAAAGACAGGGAATCGGGTGGCAGGCTAGTAATTCCCGAAGCAAGGATATTTACGAACCGCCCCACGCAATCAGATGTAGCACAAGACCGAATTTAACGTGAGATATCCGAGTCCGTAGGCTCGGTCAAAAATTCACCATAGACTCCGTAAAAAACGGGGTCGTGGTTGTCTATAACCCCTGATGAGACCCTACCCTTCGGCATAGTGCCGTCTGGGTTCCTCCCTTCCCGAAGGCAGAGAGTTCGACCAGCACAGCCGGAGATGAATCTCCAAGTAATTGCCAAAGCAAGGTTATTTACCTCACCACAACGCGAGTCAGTATGTGTCACAAAGCCGTTTTTAATGTGGGGTTAAACCGAAACTTAGTCTCGGGCAAAACTTCCCAGTAGACCCCGTAAAGTCGGGTAGCTGTCTACCCCTCCATACGAGACTCTACCCTTCGACAGAGCCTGGTCTGGGTTCCTCTCCGCCCGAATGCTGAGAGTTCGACCAGCTCAGCTGGAGACGAATCTCCAAGTAATTGCCGAAACAAGGATATTTGCCAACTGCCACACGCGGTTAGATGTGTTACATCGCCAAATTTAACGTGGGGTATCCGAACCCGTAGGCTCGGGCAAAAATTCCCCGTAGTCCCCGTAAAAAACGGTGTCGGGTAGCTGTCTACCACCCCAGACGAGACTCTGCCCCTATCTTTCGGCATAGCCATGTCTGGGTTCCTCTCCGCCCGAAGGCAGAGAGTTCGACTAGCTTAGCTGGAGACGAATCTCCAACTAATTGCCGAAGCAAGCCCCCAGATATATCCTGGATTCACTCTATATAGCTACTGATATAGTCAGCCCTCATGGGCGATAGACTGAGTGTAGGACATTCCATTGTAACATTTTGACGAGAGCAAAATGTTATATATTTTTGTTAATTTCTTTTTGTCATAATAAAATGTCTAATAAAAAATAATCATGTTTCACCTTTTTGTGCAAAACAACTACTTATGGAGGCAATTTCAAAAATTACCAGGTGTGGCTTCAAATGTTTGAACTATATATATATATATAGTTTTCATTTTCAAAACACGGTCAAGATATTGAACATGAACATAATATCTTGCAGCAATCTATTTCTTATTAACAGTTAATATATCTCAACCTTAAAAGTGGGTAAATGTATGGCCCAAAGCGCTTGGAAAAAAAGAACACTTGGATAGTTTTTATATAATTTATCATACGAAAAGAAAATTAGATCACATGAGAAATTGTATAAAAAACTAAATCAAAGCATGCCTATATATATATATATATATATATATATATATATATAGTGTGTGTGTGTGAGGCAAAATTCGCGCATCGTAAGAGTTAGTGGATAGGTAGAAGTAGTCCAGTTGAGAAGCCACCGGGGTTACCAGACCTCACTATTTTGGATTTCATTCCGTTGGAACATTTGAAATCAATTGTTTATCAGACGCGCCCAAGAAATATTGAGCAACTGAAAGAAAAATTTAAATATGAATGCCGTAAAATAATAAAGTAAACTCTCTGACGTGTTAATAAACCATCCAGGCACAGAATTGAAATGTGTCTTGAAAAAGGAGGTGAACATTTTGGACACCTGGTCTGGATCCGCTTCTGTTTGCCTCAAGGTCCTTGATAACACCCAGAGACGGACATGCAATGTAATCGGCCCTGATCTGGCATCTTGCCTGCAGTCGCTCTCTCATAGACGTGCCGTTGTCTCCTTTTGTCTTTTTTACAAATACTTTCACGGTAACTGCTCCGCCGAGCTGCTTTCGCTGGTTCCCAGACTTCATGAATTTAAGCGTTCAACTAGGCTGGCATCTCGCTCTCACCCTTTCACTGTTGAAACTGTTAAATGTAGCTGTCTCTTCTACTTCAATAGCTTCATGTCTCGCACTTCTCGCCGGTGGAACTCCCTCCCCATTTCTTGTTTCCCTGATAGCTATAATCTCCAATTATTCAAATGTAATGTCAATCGACGTCTCCAGATGCCTTGATCTATCCCCTATCCTTCTCCTTAGCCTTTCTTCTATCAGTCCTATTTTATCTCACTCCAACTCTCTGTAACGCCTTGTGTGCTAGTTGCCTCCCACATTGGTTAGGGTGAAATGCTTAAAAAACCTATAACAATTAAATAACTACTAAATAAAATTTTCATGTGTAATCATACTTTTAATAACTTATCGCTATGGTGCGTTCTTTTGGTTCACCCTATATATATATATATATATATATATATATATATATATATATATATATATAAAGAGAGAGACAGACAGAGAGCAAGAACTGTTCTTACATACATACATATATATATATATATATATATATATATTACAAGAACAGTAACTGTAATATATATATATATATATATATATATATATATATATATATATATTGCAATCTGCTTGTCTGAATCATCTTCAAGAAGCGAGATCAAGATCTAAAAGATCAGCAAATCTAACGATGATCTCATCTCACAATCCTCACACTTGCTCCATATGTGGCCTCCTTTGTAAATCACTAGCGGGTCTTAAATGCCACTTAAGATTAGCGCACAAACTTTTATGACTGAATCAATAAGCTGTCAGATCCTCATACGTTGAAACCGACGGGAGAGCCCATTATTATATTGCAAGAACAGTAACCGTAATATATATATATATATATATATATATATATATATATATATATATATATATACTGTAAGAAGAGTTTACCGTAAAAATAATCTCATAATATGAAGAGTTGTATATATACGAGGGTTAGCTGAAAAGTTCA